TCAAGTTTTGTGATTAGACTCGTGATTCGGCGACCGTTTGGTACCCGTCCGTCTGTCACCGCGCACACAAAGCCAGTCTCCCACAATATTCACTCTCAGTGTGCCATTGTTTACCAACACGTGACCATCACCCTGCGGGTTCATACGTAATAATCTATTGTTCTTTGTGATTGCAACTGCTAAATAAGTCACCATGGGCCCAAGGAAAGCTAGTGCAAACCCTTTGGTAAAGAAAGCGAAGAACACGATCCAGAGGGATTTTGAAGGGTTTGAGGCAGACCCTAACCCTGCTGACCCTCTGCCTGTTGTGGAAAGTGTTGTGGCATTGGGCAAGTCCATGGGGTTGGAGGTGAGTGACAGGGATGTGGAAGAGTTGGTGGAGGACCACAGGGAAGAGCTAACCACTGACGAACTGCAAGAGCTTCAACTGGAACAGCATCAGACCACAGCTGAGGAACTTGCTTCAGAGGAGGAGGAAAAGAGAGTGAAGGAGGTGCCTTCTTCGGTAATTAAGTACATGTGTTCAAAGTGGAATGAGTTGCAAAGTTTTGTTGAAAAGTATCACCCTGACCAAGCTGAAACAAGCCATATCTACAACTTGTTCAGTGACAAAACCTTGTCCCACTTCAGGCAAATTATAAAGAAATGCCAGAAACACACCTCTCTGGACAGATATTTTGTTCAACAGGGGTCCAGTGACACTCAAGTTGTTCCCAGTGGCATTAAAAGAATAGGGAAGTAACCCCAGAAAAGGATTTGCTACCTGAAGTCCTAATGGAAGGAGATTCTCCTTCCAAACAATAGTGTATGCCTTCCTCCTCTCCCCTCCTCCCGTCTTCCATCCACCCAGAAGTCTTCAGTAAAGGTAAGTGTAATATTATTATTATTTTTTATATGCATGTACTTGATTTCTGATTGTTTTCAGTATGTAAATCTTTATTTAATTTGAAAAAAAAAAATTTATTTTAATATTTTTGGGTGTGTGGAATGGATTAATTTTATTTCCATTATTTCTTATGGGGAGAATGGTTTCGAGTTTCGTGAATTTTGACTTTCGGCAGGCTCTCTGGAATGGATTAATCACGAAACTCGGGGGTCCACTGTAATAGTAAATAATAATAATAATAATAATAAAAATAATTGCTCTGGAGTGCTTTAAATGTCAACTACCTAACCTATATGAAATATGTGTGACATTTAAAGTGCTCCACAGTGCTTATTAATTTTTTTTTTTTTTTTCAACAAGTCGGCCGTCTCCCACCGAGGCAAGGTGACCCAAAAAAGAAAGAAAATCCCCAAAAAGAAAATACTTTCATCATCATTCAACACTTTCACCACACTCGCACATTATCACTGTTTTTGCAGAGGTGCTCAGAATACAACAGTCTAGAAGCATACACATATAAAGATACACAACATATCCCTCCAAACTGCCAATATCCCAAACCCCTCCTTTAAAGTGCAGGCATTGTACTTCCCATTTCCAGGACTCAAGTCCGACTATATGAAAATAACCGGTTTCCCTGAATCCCTTCACTAAATATTACCCTGCTCACACTCCAACAGATCGTCAGGTCCCAAGTACCATTCGTCTCTATTCACTCCTATCTAACACGCTCACACACGCTTGCTGGAAGTCCAAGCCCCTTGCCCACAAAACCTCCTTTGCCCCCTCTCTCCAACCCTTTCGAGGACGACCCCTACCCCGCCTTCCTTCCCCTATAGATTTATATGCTTTCCATGTCATTCTACTTTGATCCATTCTCTCTAAATGACCAAACCACCTCAACAACCCCTCTTCTGCCCTCTGACTAATACTTTTATTAACTCCACACCTTCTCCTAATTTCCACACTCCGAATTTTCTGCATAATATTTACACCACACATTGCCCTTAAACAGGACATCTCCACTGCCTCAACCGTTCTCCTCGCTGCTGCATTTACCACCCAAGCTTCACACCCATATAAGAGTGTTGGTACTACTATACTTTCATACATTCCCTTCTTTGCCTCCATAGATAACGTTTTTTGACTCCACATATACCTCAACGCACCACTCACCTTTTTTCCCTCATCAATTGTATGATTAACCTCATCCTTCATAAATCCATCCGCCGACACGTCAACTCCCAAGTATCTGAAAACATTCACTTCTTCCATACTCCTCCTCCCCAATTTGATATCCAATTTTTCTTTATCTAAATCATTTTGACACCTCATCACCTTACTCTTTTCTATGTTCACTTTCAACTTTCTACCTTTACACACATTCCCAAACTCATCCACTAACCTTTGCAATTTTTCTTTAGAATCTCCCATAAGCACAGTATCATCAGCAAAAAGTAACTGTGTCAATTCCCATTTTGAATTTGATTCCCCAAAATTTAATCCCACCCCTCTCCCGAACACCCTAGCATTTACTTCCTTTACAACCCCATCTATAAATATATTAAACAACCATGGTGACATTACACATCCCTGTCTAAGACCTACTTTTACCGGGAAGTAGTCTCCCTCTCTTCTACACACCCTAACCTGAGCCTCACTATCCTCATAAAAACTCTTTACAGCATTTAATAACTTACCACCTATTCCATATACTTGCAACATCTGCCACATTGCTCCTCTATCCACTCTATCATATGCCTTTTCTAAATCCATAAATGCAATAAAAACTTCCCTACCTTTATCTAAATACTGTTCACATATATGCTTCAATGTAAACACTTGATCTACACATCCCCTACCCACTCTGAAACCTCCTTGCTCATCCGCAATCCTACATTCTGTCTTACCTCTAATTCTTTCAATTATAACCCTACCATACACTTTTCCTGGTATACTCAGTAAGCTTATTCCTCTATAATTTTTACAGTCTCTTTTGTCCCCTTTCCCTTTATATAAAGGGACTATACATACTCTCCGCCAATCCCTAGGTACCTTCCCCTCTTTCATACATTTATTAAACACAAGTACCAACCACTCCAACACTATATCCCCCCCTGCTTTTAACATTTCTGTCATGATCCCATCAGTTCCAGCTGCTTTACCCCCTTTCATTTTACGTAATGCCTCACGTACCTCCCCCACACTTACATTCTGCTCTTCTTCACTCCTAAAAGATGGTATACCTCCCTGACCAGTGCATGAAATTACTGCCTCTGTTTCTTCCTTAACATTTAAAAGTTCCTCAAAATATTCTCGCCATCTACCCAATACCTCCATCTCCCCATCTACTAACTCCCCTACTCTGTTTTTAACTGACAAATCCATATTTTCCCTAGGCTTTCTTAACTTGTTTAACTCCAAAATTTTTTCTTATTTTCATTAAAATTTCTTGACAGTGCCTCTCCCATTCTATCATCTGCTCTCCTTTTGCACTCTCTCACCACTCTCTTTACCTTTCTTTTACTCTCCATATACTCTGCTCTTCTTTATAACACTTCTGCTTTGTAAAAACCTCTCATAAGCTACCTTTTTCTCTCTTATCACACCCTTTACTTCATCATTCCACCAATCACTCCTCTTTCCTCCTGCCCCCACCCTCCTATAACCACAAACTTCTGCCCCACATTCTAATACTGCATTTTTAAAAACTATTCCAACCCTCTTCAAACCCCCCCACTACTCATCTTTGCACTAGCCCACCTTTCTGCCAATAGTCGCTTATATCTCACCCGAACTCCTCCTCCCTTAGTTTATACACTTTTCACCTCCCTCTTACTTGTTGTTGCCACCTTCCTCTTTTCCCATCTAACCTCTTACTCTAACTGTAGCTACAACTAAATAATGATCCGATATATCAGTTGCCCCTCTATAAACATGTACATCCTGGAGCCTACCCATCAACCTTTTATCCACCAATACATAATCTAATAAACTACTTTCATTACGTGCTACATCATACCTTGTATATTTATTTATCCTCTTTTTCATAAAATATGTATTACTTATTACCAAATTTCTTTCTACACATAGCTCAGTTAAAGGCTCCCCATTTACATTTACCCCTGGCACCCCAAATTTACCTACTACTCCCTCCATAACATTTTTACCCACTTTAGCATTGAAATCCCCAACCACCATTACTCTCACACTTGATTCAAAACTCCCCACGCATTCACTCAACATTCCCAAAATCTCTCTCTCTCCTCTACACTTCTCTCTTCTCCAGGTGCATACACGCTTATTATAACCCACTTTTCACATCCAATCTTTATTTTACTCCACATAATCCTTGAATTAATACATTTATAGTCCCTCTTTTCCTGCCATAGCTTATCCTTCAACATTATTGCTACTCCTTCTTTAGCTCTAACTCTATTTGAAACCCCTGACCTAATCCCATTTATTCCTCTCCACTGAAACTCTCCCACCCCCTTCAGCTTTGTTTCACTTAAAGCCAGGACATCCAGCTTCTTCTCATTCATAACATCCACAATCATCTCTTTCTTATCATCTGCACAACATCCACGCACATTCAGACTTCCCACTTTGACAATTTTCTTCTTCTTATTCTTTTTAGTAATCTTTACAGGAAAAGGGGTTACTAGCCCATTGTTACCGGCTAGTTACATTTTATTATTAATTATACTTTATTAATATTATTATTAATTATATTTTATTAATATTATTATTAATTATATTTTATTAATATTATTATTAATTATATTTTATTAATATTATTATTAATTATATTTTATTAATATTATTATTAATTATATTTTATTAATATTATTATTAATTATATTTTATTAATATTATTATCACCATCAACTTACCTTGTTCAATGAGTTTAATCATTTCTTAATTAAACTGCCATGAGAGACACAGAATGTAAACAAACACATGAACACACCAGATAACCCCCTTTACTATGAACTTCTTTAGTACTTCTTCCATTGTCCTCTCTTCCCTTTTCCAAGTGCTGCTGCACTTCTATCTTGTACTGTGGGGCGAACAATAAAGTTTAAATTTATACAAATATGTAATCTTTTAGAGATTAAAAGCTAGTGTTCTGAGTGGCTGTAGGAAGGAGATCGAGATGCTTGATGCTGTGACACTGTGCTGCCCATTTCTGTGACCCAAGTTTTCATTCGGTATACAATACTGACTCATCGGATAGCCCATCGTAACTCTTAGTTGTCGGTAAACAAGTATGTCGGTAAGTGAGGAGAGGCTGGATAGTAAATATATGCTTTTGACAAAATAAAAAGAAAGGGTGTATTGCAGTATACTAAATCACTATACATACATGGTTGATGTTGTGTTAAGAAGTGGATTAACAAGATTCAGTCAGACCAGTGCATGTGAGGAAATAGGCTATTTCTTGTTCATTTGTTATTTCAAACCTGCGACCCGAGTCTGATAATTTTACCATGATTATGCCATCATGCATAAAACACTGTGTGATTGCTACATTTTTATCACGTTTAAGTTTACGAAGTCTGTATAGTAGGTTCTGTCACTTTTTAGTTAGGCACTCATGATTGAGGAACTTATTGCATCCTTTTTTACGTCAGTGGAATGGAATCTTAACATAGTACTTTGCTTTTGACCTGGCCTGCCTAGCAGTCAGGCCTCCATGATATGACGAGGATCAATGTTAATATGTATCTCATTTTTTATTAGCTGAAGTGCTTTGTTGATGCAGTTGTCATGGCTTGTATCTGATAGTAAGTTAGTATGCCCCTTGCCTAGCGATGAATTTGTTTACTGATGTGGTCTTAAGAAATGCCTTAAAGTCTTGAACATGTACTCACTGGAGTGGACGAGAGAGAGAGATACATGATAATGTATACCTGGAAGGTACTTGAGGTCTTTGTCCCAAATCTGCATACCACCCTTACAGCATACTTGAGGAATAGACTAGGGAGGAAGTGCAAAATAAACCCAGTGAAAAGCAAGGGTGCAGTTGGGACACTATATCAACATTCCTGGCCCCAGAGTGTTCAGCATCTTACCGGAACATATCAGAAACACTGCTGGAACTATTGTATTAGTCTTCAAGAGAAAACTAGACAAGTATCTTCACCAGGTACCAGATCAAGCAGGCTGTGATAGATATATTGCTGCAGGCCTCCAGCAGCAATAGCCTGGTTACCCAGGCTAGCATCAGACGAGCCTGGCCCATGGCCGGACTCTGAAAGTAGTAAGACTCTCAAAACTCATCAAAGGTATATCAAAAGTAATAGCTAATTGTGGTTCTTTGTGGTGCTAGTGTTATTATGGTGGTTGTAGTAGTAACTTGTTGTGGTGTTGGCGCTAGTAGCTTCTTGTGTTGGTGGTGCTAATAGCTGATTGCGGTGTTGGTGTTGCTAATAGCTTGTTGTGGTGTTGGTGGTGCTAGTAGCTTATTGTGGTGTTAATAGCTGGTTGTAGTGTTGGTGGTGCTAGTAGCTTGTGGTGTTGGTGTTAGTAGCTGAGCATGGTGTTAATAACTGATTGTGGTGTTGGTGGTGCTAGTAGCTAATTGTGGTTGTGATGCTAGTGGCTGATACATGATAATATATACTTGGAATATCCTACAGGGACTATTCCCAAATCTGTACATGAAAATCACTCCTTACAGAAGCAAAAGACTTAGCAGGCGGAGCAACATTTCCCCAGTGAAAAGCAGTGGCACCACGAGTACACTAAGAGACAACACAATATGTGTCAGGGGCCCAAAACTGTTCAACTGCCTCCCAGCATACATAAGGGAGATTACCAATAGACCCCTGGCTGTCAAGACTGTGCTGGACAGACACCTAAAGTAAGTACCTGACCAGCTGGGCTGTAGTTCATATGTGGATTAGTGTGCAGCCTGCAGTAGCAGCCTGGTTAATCAGGCTTTGATCCACTCTGAGGCCTGGTCATGGACAGGGCACTGGGGGCATTGGCCCCTGAAACACCCTCCAGGTATACTACTAGTATACTTCTGGTGTTCAAACATTATAATAATAATGCCACAAGTATTACAAAAATGATACCACAATTATTACAATTATTCCACAGGTATTGCAGTAATTACACTACAAGTATTACAATAATAACAACAGAAGTATTACAATAAAAATAATATGTCAAGAATTACATAATTATGATCAACCTCAACATAGTTAAAGAAAAATTTTAACAAAAGATAGTAATAGTTAATTATTTCTTTTATGCAGGTCATCCTGGTAGCAGAGGCTGGTACTGGTAGTACCAGTACTGCAGGTCATCCTGGTAGCAGAGGCTGGTACTGGTAGTACCAGTACTGCAGGTCATCCTGGTAGCAGAGGCTGGTACTGGTAGTACCAGTACTGCAGGTCATCCTGGTAGCAGAGGCTGGTACTGGTAGTACCAGTACTGCAGGTCATCCTGGTAGCAGAGGCTGGTACTGGTAGTACCAGTACTGCAGGTCGTCCTGGTAGCAGAGGCTGGTACTGGTAGTACCAGTACTGCAGGTCATCCTGGTAGCAGAGGCTGGTACTGGTAGTACCAGTACTGCAGGTCATCCTGGTAGTAGAGGCTGGTACTGGTAGTACCAGTACTGCAGGTCATCCTGGTAGCAGAGGCTGGTACTGGTAGTACCAGTACTGCAGGTCATCCTGGTAGCAGAGGCTGGTACTGGTAGTACCAGTACTGCAGGTCATCCTGGTAGTAGATATTATTCTTGTAGTGTTAGTTTTTATTATCATAATGCTCCTGTAAATGTCAGATTCTGAAATATATAGTGACAACACTGTGTTACTACAGTGTTAGAAATATATAGTGACAACACTGTGTTACTACAGTGTTAGAAATATATAGTGACAACACTGTGTTACTACAGTGTTAGAAATATATAGTGACAACAGTGTTACTACAGTGTTAGAAATATATAGTGACAACACTGTGTTACTACAGTGTTAGAAATATATAGTGACAACAGTGTTACTACAGTGTTAGAAATATATAGTGACAACACTGTGTTACTACAGTGTTAGAAATATATAGTGACAACACTGTGTTACTACAGTGTTAGAAATATATAGTGACAACAGTGTTACTACAGTGTTAGAAATATATAGTGACAACACTGTGTTACTACAGTGTTAGAAATATATAGTGACAACACTGTGTTACTACAGTGTTAGAAATATATAGTGACAACACTGTGTTACTACAGTGTTAGAAATATATAGTGACAACACTGTGTTACTACAGTGTTAGAAATATATAGTGACAACACTGTGTTACTACAGTGTTAGAAATATATAGTGACAACACTGTGTTACTACAGTGTTAGAAATATATAGTGACAACACTGTGTTACTACAGTGTTAGAAATATATAGTGACAACACTGTGTTACTACAGTGTTAGAAATATATAGTGACAACACTGTGTTACTACAGTGTTAGAAATATATAGTGACAACAGTGTTACTAAGGAGTTAGAAATATAACATTTACAATGTCATCTGTGTCATGAAGTTGTTGTGTAATAATACTGATAAACATCACATTAACATTTTAGTGTTAAACATCAAATTAATGTCCTAATGTTAAATATCACATTAACATCCTTGTGTTAACATCACCTTAACATCCTAGTGTTAACATCACCTTAACATCCTAGTGTTAAACATCACATTAACATATTTGTGTTAAACCTAAGTGTTAAGCATACATTAACATACAAATATCACCTTAAAATTGCACTGTTAAACATCACCGTAACATCCTAATGTTAACATCACATTAACATCATAGTGTTGAACATCACATTAGCATTGTAGTGTTAAACATCACATTAACACTGTAGTGTTAAACATCACCTTAACATCCTAGTGTTAACATCACATTAACATTGTAGTGTTAAACATCACCTTAACATCCTAGTGTTAACATCACATTAACATTGTAGTGTTAAACATCACCTTAACATCCTAGTGTTAACATCACATTAACATTGTAGTGTTAAACATCACCTTAACATCCTAGTGTTAACATCACATAAACATCGTAGCGTTAAACATCACCTTAACATTGTAGTGTTAAACATACATTAACATCTTAGTGTTAAACATCACATTAACATCTTAGTGTTAAAGATCACATTAACATCGTGGTGTTAACCATCACATTAATATCTTAGTGTTAACATCACATTAATATCTTAGTGTTAAAGATCACATTAACATCTTAGTGTTAAAGATCACATTAACATCTTAGTGTTAAAGATCACATTAACATCTTAGTGTTAAAGATCACATTAACATCGTGGTGTTAACCATCACAATATTTTAGTGTTAACATCACATTAATATCTTAGTGTTAGCATCACATTAACATCATAGTGTTAAACATCATATTAACATCCTATTGTTAAACATAACATTAACATCGTACTGTTAAACATCTTGATGTGTTAACAAACATAACATTGTATTATCTCTGTAATAAGAACTTTGTTGTAATATTTGTTGTTATTAAACTCTTGTGAAAACTTTATTGAGAAACATTGAAATTCATGAAGAATATTATAGAAGCCTTCAAGGTAAGTGCTGGTCATCTGCTTGTTTGATCCAAGGAATTAGAGATAACTTCCTATTTTTGTAAATATCCATCCTATTCTTTAAGCACAGTTTAAACCGTACTGGTTTAGTGCTTGACAATGTTTATAATGTAATAATAGAGTATTAGAGATATATTATTTTTCAATGTAAGAATATGATCACAGAAACTGTATGTTGTTAAGCATTTTATAATTCATTTATGAGAGTATTAACCCATCTTACTGTATATTACATAGGTCTACATTATTGACCCAGTGTTACTCATGTAGGTCTACATTATTGACCCAGTGTTACTCATGTAGGTCTACATTATTGACCCAGTGTTACTCATGTAGGTCTACATTATTGACCCAGTGTTACTCATGTAGGTCTACATTATTGACCCAGTGTTACTCATGTAGGTCTACATTATTGACCCAGTGTTACTCATGTAGGTCTACATTATTGACCAGTGTTACTCATGTAGGTCTACATTATTGACCCAGTGTTACTCATGTAGGTCTACATTATTGACCCCAGTGTTACTCATGTAGGTCTACATTATTGACCCCAGTGTTACTCATGTAGGTCTACATTATTGACCCCAGTGTTACTCATGTAGGTCTACATTATTGACCCCAGTGTTACTCATGTAGGTCTACATTATTGACCCCAGTGTTACTCATGTAGGTCTACATTATTGACCCAGTGTTACTCATGTAGGTCTACATTATTGACCCCATGTAGGTCTACATTTTAAGCACAGCTCTCTCACATTTGCTGTGAGTAGTAAATTTGGGTGTAGATATGGGAGGATGTATCTTAGGAGTGAGTGCACAGTATAAATCAAATCCTTCCCCAGGTATTGCTTGCTGAGAAAAACACACCTCTGACCTTCTGTTTGATTTTAAATAGCGACTTTGAGGTGTTTCTAGGATGTATTTTCCGGTTTTGTGACTGTTACTTGGTATTAATTGATGAAATGGACATCATTCTGCTGAAAAAGATAATTTGGTTGCTCTTAGAACCAGAAGCAGCTTGAAATATTTGACTTTTGATAATTTTTTTCTTTAGGAAAGACTCACTTTTTCTCCTCATCTTTTTTTTTTTATGGGTTTTTACTAGGTCTGCTTCAATTGTTGGGATGCCCTAAATCATGACAATTTTTCCTGGTTACTTTTTATTATCTGAGAAATAGGGTAAATCTTATATTTTGTGTGTTATGATGGATTTAGAACAGAAGGAAGGTGTAATTTACTAGAGGCCAGGCGAGATGATTAATGAACAAATGATACATTTCTGGAATGAATACTCCATTTATTTCTTATTGTTTTCAAATCAGAATTTGTTGAATTTTGTGTAAAATTAATCAACAACTCTTATGCACTTTGGCTACTGTGAATAAGCTAAAAATTTCTTAGGAATGAGCAAAGGGTGAAGTTGCTGATGTGCAAATTGTGCTCAGATTGCCAACCTTGTGCCTCCTTAATTCTATAAATTTGCATCACATTTTGTGTTTCTGGGGTCATTACCTTACCAAAAAATTCTCTACCATTTCTGAAGAAATTTTTCTCCTTGTAGAAATCTTGACATTTCAAGCACTTTTACTTTTTGGGTCCATATAGTGAAAGGGTTTTGCTCACTATGTCTAATATAGTTGAAAAAGAAAGTGTCCAAGCAACACATGTTACAGTTCGTCCAGAAACCAAACTACATCAATATTCACATTCTTCACAAAAATCTCAGTGTGCATCACTTGTAACAATTAATGAAAGAAAAAACACAGTTTTTTGTTTAATGTGTTTGAAAGAGTTTTCTGAAAAAAAATATTTAATGGGACATATGAAAACTCACACCAAAGATACACAGTATCAGTGTTGTGTGTGTCTAAAAAAGTTTTCAGATAAATCTTGTTTATTAGAACACATGAAAAATCATTCTGGAAAGAAACCATATCAGTGTTCAGAATGTCTAAAAGAGTTTTCAGGTAAATCAGGTTTAGTAAAACACATGACAATTCATACTGGAGAGAAACCATATCAGTGCTCAGAGTGTCTTAAAGAGTTTGCCAGAAAAAATGTTTTAGTAGAACACATGAGAATTCATACTGGAGAAAAGCCATATAAATGTTCAGAGTGTCTAAAAGAGTTTAACGCAAAGCAAATTTTATTGAAACACCGGAGGATTCATACTGGAGAGAAGCCATATAAATGTTCAGAGTGTCAAAAAAATTTTTCACAAAAGTCTCATTTAATACAACACATGAGAACTCATACTGGGGAGAAACCATATCAATGTTCTGAGTGTTTAAAAGAGTTTACAGGTAAATCGTCTTTAGTACAACACATGAGAATTCATACTGGAGAGAAACCATATCAGTGTTTAGAGTGTCTAAAATGTTTTTCAGATACATATACATTAGTAGAACACATGAGAATTCATACTGGAGAGAAACCATTTCAGTGTTCAGAGTGTCTAAAAGGGTTTTCACGAAAATCTTGTTTAGTAAAACACATAAGAATTCATACTGGAGAAAAACCATATCAGTGTTCAGAGTGTATAAAGGAATTTTCACAAAAACCTAATTTAGTACAACACATGAAAATTCATACTGGAGAGAAACCCTATCACTGTTCAGAGTGTGTAAAAGAGTTTTCACAAAAAGCTAGTTTAGTAAAACACATGAGAATTCATACTGTAGAGAAACCATTCAAATGTTCAGAATGCCTAAAGACATTTACAGATAAATCAAATTTAGTAAAACACCTCAGACTTCATACCAGTTAGAAATCATATCAATGTTCAATTTCCCAAAAATCAAATTGATTGAAATAAAAAAATCACATGGGAGGGAAAATTTTTTAGTGGATAGTATGAACAAAAGATATGGTAATATATGACAGTAATTAACCATTTTAGGGTCCAGACCCCTGATCTGAAAATTGCTCTCAAGGTCTAAGGATTTAAAAAAAATATATTTTTCCTTAAAGACTGAAAGAGTATCTTTTAGTGGAGGTAATGAAATCAAAGAAAAAAAATTTCCATCAGTATTTACCTAGAAATAGAGGCACGAAATTGACAGTAAATACACAAATAACCCGCACATAGAAGAGTTATTTGTGTATCGTTCCAGTCATGGTATTGTGCCTTTTTTATTGACAGTAAATCACTGGGTGATGGCAACATCGGCAACTGCTGTGCACTCCATATTGGTTTTTTAATTTTATTGTACATTTTTTTGTTCTTTTTAAATACAGTGGAACCTCTACTTACAAGTGCATCCATGTGCAAGTTTTTCCACATGTAAGCAGTCACTCAGTCAATTTTTTGTTTCCAGACGCGAGTGAAATTTCCAGATGAGAGTGGGCCTCAAGGGAGATTCCTTGACACTGGTGAGGGGCTCTTGCTTTTGAATTAGGGAATTAGATCTAAGTTGTTTGTTGGACTATCTTACTGAAACTTGGGCAATGTATATTGGAAAGATGCTTTTGAACATACACCAAAAATGAAAGAAATCGGACCATAAATAACCGAGTTTAATTCTCAGGCATTAGCCACCCCTTAGTGGCATTTCTGTATGGTTTCTTGGTTGTATTCTCATTTTTTTTGGTCTCAGTTGATAGAATGGACAATATGTTACAGAAATAGATAGGATTTTGATTGGTTTCATGACAAAAAGTACCTTTAAATTGAGCTTAAATTAGCATAAATGTTCGATTTTTTGGCGATATTCAAGAGTAAACAAATGACGTCACTCCATTCCAATATGCAGTCATGAATGGGTTGACATCATATATACAATTACGTATTACAATAATGTAATAGTCTGTGTGAATAAAAATTACAAATAATTTATATAATAATAATAATATTATAATAATAATAATATTATAATAATAATAGTATAATAAGAAAATATAATAATAATAATAAAATGCGTATAATAATACATGTATAATAATAATGTATAATAATAATTATAATAATAGACGGCTTCGAAAGGCCCTCACTAGATGGCAGTGATTACCACAACAATTATGCCATATTAGATGAATTATGATAGATAATTAAGCCGTGTAGATGATATTAGCGAAATATTGAAGTACAGTGGGCCCCCAAGTTTCGTGATTAATCCCTTCCAGAGAGCCTGCCGAAGGTCGAAATTCACGAAACTCAAACCATTTTCCCCCTAAGAAATAATGGAAATAAAATTAATCCGTTCCAGACACCCAAAAATATTAAAATAAAATATTTTTTTTCAAATTAAATAAAGATTTACATAATGAAAACAATCAGAAATCAAGTACATGCATTTAAAAAATAATAATAACATTACACTTACCTTTACTGAAGACTTCTGCATGGATGGAATACGGGAGGAGGGGAGAGGAGGAAGGTGTACACTATTTTTTGGATGGAGAATCTCCTTCCATTAGGACTTCAGGTATGAAGTCCATATTTGGGGTTACTTCCCTTCTTCTTTTAATGCCACTGGGACCAGCTTGAGAGTCACTAGACCCCTGTTGCACAAAATATCTGTCCAGAGAGGTCTGTTTCTGGAGTTTCTTTAAGAGTTCCCTCAAGTGGGACACAGCACTGTCATTGTACATGTTGCCAATACGGCCTGCAACAGCTTTGTTAGGGTGAAGTTCATCCATAAATGCTTGCACTTCAGTCCACTTTCCACAAATGTCCTTAATCTTTGAAGAAGGCACCTTCCTCCATCTCTCTTCCTCCTCCTCTGCAGCAGTTTCCTGAGCTGTGATCTGTTGCAGTTGCAGATGAAGCTCTTGCAGCTCTTCAATGGTTAGCTCTTCCCTATGGTCCTACACCAACTCTTCCAAATCCTCAACACTCACCTCCAACCCCAAGGACATCCCCAGTGCTACAATAGTTTCCACAACTGGCATAGGTTCCTTAGGGTCAGCCACAAACCCTTCAAAATCCCTCTCTTGTACACAATCTGGCCACAAATTTCTCCAAGCAAAGTTCAAAGTCCTGGAAGTCACTCCCTCCCAAGACTTACCTATAAGGTTTATGCAATGGAGGATATTAAAGTGATCTTTCCAGAACTCTCTTAGGGTCAATTCAGTGTCTGAGGTCACTTCAAAGCATTTTTGAAACACTGCTTTGGTGTAGAGTTTTTTGAAGTTTGAAATGACCTGCTGGTCCATGGGCTTGAGGAGAGGAGTGGTATTAGGAGGCAAGAACTTCACCGTGATGAAACTAAACTCCTCCACTATTTGCTCTTCCAAGTCTGGAGGATGAGCAGGAGCATTGTCTATTACCAGGAGGCACTTGAGTGGCAATTTATTTTCCAAGAGGTATTTCTTCACACTGGGGCCAAACACTTCATTAAACCAGTCTAGGAAAATTCCCCTTGTGACCCATGCCTTACTGTTAGCCTTCCACATCACACACAAATTACTCTTGGCGACACTGTATTTCTTGAACACTCTGGGATTTTCAGAGTGATACACCAGTAAAGGCTTCACTTTAAAATCCCCACTAGCGTTACTACAAAACATGAGAGTAAGCCTGTCTTTCATAGGCTTGTGTCCTGGGAGTGCTGCTTCCTCCTGCATGATGTAGGTCCTCTTTGGCATTTTCTTCCAGAAGAGGCCTGTTTCGTCACAAACACTTGCTGGGGTTTGAATTCTCCAGTGTCTACTCACTCCTTAAACTCATATACAAACTTCTCAGCTGCTTTTTTGTCAGAACTGGCAGCCTCACCATGCCTTATCACACTGTGAATGCCACTACGCTTCTTAAATCTCTCAAACCTTAAAATCACAAGCATCACCACTTGTTGCAGGCATGTTCTTTATGAGATCGTCATGCAACTACCTTGCCTTTTCACATATTATCGACTGCGTAACACTATCTCCTGCTAACTGTTTTTCGGTAATCCACACCAACAATAACCTCTCCACTTCTTCAAGGATTTGTGATCTCCTTTTTGTCAGCATATCCACCCCTTTTGCAACAACAGCACAGTTTATTTCCTTTCCTTTCGCCATGATCAAAGTGATGGTTGAATGGGGCTTGCCATACATCCTGGCAAGCTCTGTAACATGCACTCCACTCTCATATTTTTCAATGATTTCCTTCTTGAATTCGATCGTGTTCCTCACTTTCTTTACCAAAGGGCTTGCACTAGCTTTCCTTGAGCTCATGGTGACTTATTTAGCAGTTGTAAACACAAAAATCATTGGATTATTACATATGAACCTGCGGGGTGATGGTCACGTGTTGGTAAACATTGGCACACTGAGCGTGAATGGTGTGTGAGACTGGCTTGGTATGCGTGGTGATGGGCGGACGGGTACCGGACGGTCGCCGAAACACGAGTCTTTTCACAAAACTCGAGGCCAAATTTTTCCAAAAAAACTCGCCGAAGGTCGAATTTCACGAAAGTCGAGGCTGCCGAAACTCGAGGGTCCACTGTATCTTGTTGTGCCTCCTGAGAGCCGAGATGGATTAATTGCATTTCAATTAATTTATGTGAGGAAAATTGACTCTGCAAATGATCAAATCCAGATGCAAGCAAGGTCACAGGATGGATTAAACTCATAAGTAGAAGTTCCACTGTATTTTATTTTTTTCATTAACATTTGTTACCTATGAGACCTCTATAATGCATGATATATATATATATATATATATATATATATTTTATATATATATATATATATATATATATATATATATATATATATGTATATATATATATATATAAAATATATATATATATATATATATATATATATATATATATATATATATATTTATATATTTATATATACAGTGGACCCCGCATAGCGACTTTAATCCGTGCAAGAGGGCTGATTGTTATGCGAAATGATCGGTATGCGAATGAATTTTCCCCCTAAGAAATAATGGAAATCAAATTAATCCGTGCAAGACACCAAAGTATGAAAAAAAAATTTTTACCACATGAAATATACATTTTCCTACACACAAAGAGAAGGATACATGCACAATAGTAGAGTAGTACATGCACAATATATATTGTGCATGTACTACTCTACTAAATGAAGAATAAATGACACTTACCTTTATTGAAGATGCAGCAATGACTGATGAGACACTGTGTCCTGGGAGTGCCATTTCCTCCTGAGTACTGTAGGTCCTGTTTGGCATTTTCTTTCAGAACAGGCCTTATCACACTGTGTATGCCACTACGATTCTTAAATCTCTCAAACCAACCTTTGCTGGCTTTAAATTCACCAATATGAGCACTAGTTCCAGGCATTTTTCCCTGTTCACCTGGGTGTTAGTCGACTGGTGTGGGTTGCATCCTGGGAGACAAGATTAAGGACCCCAATGGAAATAAGTTAGACATTCTTCGATGACACTGACATTTTTGGGTTATCCTGGGTGGCAAATCCTCTGGGGTTAATTGTTTCTTGGTATTCTCAATAAGCCACACCAACAACGGTGCTACAGCAGCAGCAGCAGCTGACAGTGCTACAGCAGCAGCAGACGATGCTACAGCAGCAGCAGACGGTACTACAGCAGCAGCTGACTGTGGTACAGCAGCAGCAGACGATGCTACAGCAGCAGCAGACGGTACTACAGCAGCAGCTGACGGTGGTACAGCAGCAGCAGCAGCAGCAGCTGACAGTGCAGCAGCAGCAGCAGCAGCAGCTGACAGTGCAGCAGCAGCAGCAGCAGCTGATGGTGGTACAGCAGCAGCAGCAGCTGTACCACCAATAGTAGCGATGGTTGATTGGGGTTTATTATACAACCTGGCCAGCTCGGAGACACTCACTCCACTTTCATACTTATCAATGATCTTTTTCTTCATCTCTATAGTAATTCTCACCCTTATTGCTGTAGGGTTGGCACTAGAAGCTTTCTTGGGGCCCATGGTCACTTATTTTGCAGATAAAATCACCAAAAACACTGTAATAATACGAAATGTTCCGATTGTATGCTTGGATGTTACCGCGGAGGCTGGCTGGTAAACAATGCCACCGGCGGCACATGTGAGGCTAGCTAAGGGCGCACATTGGATGCGTCTCGGACGAAGAGCGGTGAGCGGGTTTTTGAGCAGTATGCGAGGCAAAATTTTTGCGAAAAAAGCGAGCGGTATGCGGATTGAACGTTATGCGATGCGTATGGTATGCGGGGGTCCACTGTATATATATATATATATATATATATATATATATATATATATATATATACAGGAGGGCCCCACTTATACGGCAGGTTAGGTTCCAGGCTACCGCCGTAAAGCGGAAACCGCCGTAAAGTGGAACACCCTTTTTTTCCACTTATAAATGCATACAAACACTAGATAACAAGTTTTACACTAACATATATTAAGTTAGCAATAGAACCAGGCATCAAAAAACAATAAAAAAGTACAATACACACTTAGTGCACTCATTACTTATCTTAAAATATTTATAGTCTTAATCTAGGGTGAGACAAGTAGTATTTATTGTAAGAAATCAAGTGTGGTATGTATGGTAATAGCCAGGCTACCTTACCAGGCCACCCCACCCACACATACTATTCTATGATATTTAAGCATCCCAGAGCGATAAAATGTATATACAGTTCACTCATTACTTACCTTAAAATATTTGTAGTCTTAATGTAGGGTCAGGAGTAAGTAAATGAGATAAAATGAATAAATGAGAGAGAGAAAGAATGAGTACATGAGAGGGGACAGGCGCAGAGTTATGTAAACAAACCAGGCGAACGTAAGTTTTGTAAACAAACGAAGTGTA